ATGTACGTACGTGACACCCGGCGCCAATGGGTTAATGCACTTGGGCCAAAATGAGTCATGATGGCTTTTTCTACTTGTCATGAAAGCAAAATATTCCATTACATTAATAACTATACCTGTCAGCAACAGGTTGAAATGATTAGTTAATTTTGTTAATTGAGGCTGCTTTAGGTTTTCCAATTGTGCTTAGCAGACTTCATCTGTTTTATCAATACTTAGATCTCTGACAGTTTAATATCCAGTCAATACTGGAAATATTTTGAGATTTTCTGAATCCATTGTCTATCAAGCAGTTGTGGACTGTTGGGGAAGCCCCATAGTTAAAAGTAAGTTTTCACAAAACAAATGACTATTATCAATAAAGTCATTAATCACATTTGAAGAGTGGGGTTATCCAAAAATTCTGGTTTCCCTCCCCAAATTTTGACCTCTGCCATTAAGCCAATAATAATTAAAGTTACATTTTTGTTTTGATTTTTGTTGGCCCACAAATCTATTTACTTTAGTTGATGGGACATCATATGCCCTTAGAATACCAAACTAGTTCTTTTTAATTCCATAGTGACTGGAATAGCTCTCTGAAGACCAGTTTGCTCTCTTGAGGATAAGATTAGGTTTATATGTTTGGCTATAAAATATAAGATATACCAGGTTTACATCACACATTATGGTGCTTTAATGAAGCAGAACATGTGGAATGCTAGTCTGTTAGTTTATTTACATACTCATTTACTCTTATTTTATCTATTTATTAATTGATCTATTTTTGCATTTATTCACTTTTCCCTCTGCCAGTTATTTATCCATAACAAGATGTTCCCATCTTCTACCCTTTGGCGAAATATTTTTGTGACAAAAAGTCTACCTCACCAGGATCTAACAGATTAAGAAAGATGCATAGCAAAAGTAACTAAATCCCTCAGTCTTTCAGAAGTTAGTTTATGAAATTCTGAATAGTAGTTCAAAGGTTATGGGAGTACAGTTTAGGCAAAAATACAACAATAATGTACAGTTAGGGGGGAGTCCTTATTCCTAAATAAACTCCAGTATTGATTGGTATTCAAATAATGTCACTTGCAGTGGTCATGTTGTGGTTTCTTCAGAGATGGAATGGAATTAGAGAACTGGTATGAATATACGAAGTTTTTAGAACAAGACTCATTTTTGCTTAATTTCATGGCATGAATTTTGTATCAGATGGTCGTAAAAATTGAAGTATACAAAAACAGTTGTGCTTAATTACAAATATCTTATCAGAGCAAATAATCATGAATTTAATGAGTTGTATTGGTAAATGGATTAACCATCATAATCATGATGGTTAATTAACATGCATTATCGGTGATGATATACTTTAGTATGAAATCTTAGGAGAAGATTGCTAATGATATCTCTTGGCTTATCCTTTTACTTCATTTACAGATAGATAATGGCTTTCTTTGGGAATTTGATCAAAACCTTTCTAAGCTCAGAAGGGCCATCAGGGAACACTGTGACTGAAGTCTCAGTATCTCAGTTCTCTAGGACACCAGTAAGTATTTTTTTTCTACGAGAATGCAAATATATTGTCATTAAGTTGATCATGAAAATATATATGTGCATGCAGAGATATTTTCATGTTATAAGTGAAATGATACATATGTATACTCTCAGGCACATCAAAGACACAGACAGACACACAGACACACATACACACATACAAAAACGAACATTTAAAATAAACACACACAGAGACACACATACAGAGACCTGCATAAAGGCACACATTCAAACACGCTGGCAGATACACAG